TAATAATAATAAAGATAAATAAACTTTATTTGTTTAAAAATATAAGTATTTTTCTGTCAGAAAAAAATGGTCATTTAAGGTAAGAGCTGTGTTTATTTTTTATAAGTTGTTAGAAAACAATGCATTAAAAACTGTAATACTTTTAAATTGTATTGTAAATAACGAAAGTTACATGTAGGCATCGAAAAATGCCGTTCGTACCAATTTGCAACTTAAAGAAAACTCTTCAGAGACAAAAAAAAAAAAAAGGCTTAACAATAACAAAATATTTTCCTTAAGCATTAAAAGGCAAAATTTAAACTTAACTTCGTAAGTGGAGAGTTTGGAGACTTTTCAAATTTTTTGGAAAATTATTTTCTCAAAAAGATTATAATATTTTGCATATAAGATTTACATTTAAATTGATATAGCAAGCTTGGAGACTTGCAAACAATGAGATAAAATAAGTTTTTGCAAAAAAATCTGCAAAGAACTTGATAAAATGTTAAATAATTACAAATTATGGTAGCTACAACACTCTTATAAATTTGCTGCTAAATCTTCTAACTTTATTTCCACGCAGTACATAATAATGTAATGTAATAAATATTATATCACTATATTTCTGCTATTTATTGTCTATTTGAATTATTTTTAATTTATTTTCATCAATATTTTTTCTTTATCTTTTTCCAGATGGTTTCATGGCAATCTTTCGGGCAAGGAAGCTGAAAAATTGATACTAGAACGTGGAAAGAATGGTTCATTTCTGGTGCGTGAATCTCAAAGTAAACCTGGTGATTTTGTGCTTTCAGTGCGTACAGATGATAAAGTGACGCACGTCATGATCCGATGGCGGCAGGTGAGTTTTGTATAAATTAATTTTACAATGTCTAAAATGAAATTTTTTATTGAGAATAATAAATAAAATCTTCTAAATACTGGAAAATGTAGTCACAAATTTAACATAAATAACAAAAAATGCATAGTGTTTCGTAGAATTTTGATAAAAAAAAATCTCCAAATAGAAACAAGCTGTTTTAAAATTTTAGTGGCAATGAAAATTTTCAGTCAACTATGAAAATGTAAAAGTTGCACTTCATTCCTGAAGTGGAGAGTTTGGAGACTTTTTGAAACTTCAACGAAATAAGTTTTTTCAAAGCATAAATAATTCGTAGGGTGTCTTTCTAAATTTTTTCTTAATATTTATTAGTATTCTTATGATTCGTAACTATGTTCTTCTTTTTACTCTTCAGTATTTTTTTTTTTTCATTGAATTTCTATTTTTCATGAAATTCTATGATTTGTGACTCACTCATCCAAAACTTGCTGCGAAATATGTTTAAAAAATACAATTTCCATTATTTCAATGTTTTTCCTCGAAACGTTCGACCTTGAAATTTTCGTACATAGCAACGTAACTTGCAGCCAACTAATACAGCAATAACACCAATAACAAAAATCATTGTAATGTCAGTGGCAGTCAAGCAAATGACTTGCGCCAAATGCAACAATAACAACAAATACAAAAATATTCGTATATTGTTTTGGTTTTTGTTATTATTGTTGTTGTTGCCAACAAGTCAATTACTTAAAAAAAAAAGTGAAAATATGTAAAAATATATTTAAAAAAACACCAATAGCAACAACAAAAAAGGTGTTAAATTGCTGCTTAGACAAAAATCCAAAAGCTAGTGATCTTTAACGGCCACAACAACAGCAAAAACAGCAAGTAAAAAATATATCAACAGTAAAAGCATTGCTTAGACACGATAAAGATTGCGATAATAGTAACAAATGCGAATATGCAAATATATGCATGCTATATTGAGAAAGTAGAAACATTTACCATAACAATAACAACAACAATAGAAACACGCCACAATAAACATTGCGATTTTGCAGTGCTATAAAAAGGAAACAATAACAAATATTGACAAAGTTTTAAGTAATAAATTAGTTGGTTGAGGAAAAACTGTTTAAATTGCTTAAGCAAAAAAGCGGAAAAGTAATAACAAAAAGAAGAATAAAATATATGTATATTCTGGGATGGGTTTTTTGCTTTTTTATATTTTTTTGTTGTAGTTTTAGTTGCAAAATAAATTTTTGTTTGACAAAAAAGTTTACAATTTACGACAGTTGATAAGAGACAGTCCGATTTTATTAAGGCATTTTTTTTTAATTGTATCAAGTGGTTATTTTTTTATATTTATTTTGCCTTTTTCATAATATTCTTTATTAAAATTATATT